GCAGAACTGTTCGTCTCCGAGCAACACACAGCGGCATTTCATTTCTTAATGCATGTTTTGAACGAATTGGGTGAACCATTAGGTGCGTTGGATTTGAAGCGGCGCTGCACAGACCGATCGGTGTATGACATCAAAGTACCGCGAGAGCGATTCAAAAGCATAAGGAGCCGTCTGCTCTCTATAGCTCTTGCGGTACTTTGATGTCACACACCGATCGATCTGATGGTGATGATCCGTTTCAAGTCGAACAAGCGTAATGATTCAATGGACCATTCATAAAGAACCATTTACTTCACTCCTGAATGAATCAGCCATTTGAACGAATCAAATGAATGAATAAATGACTCGATGGCTTAATCAGTAAGACATTTACCACCACCTACTGACAGTTTTAGTTTATTATTTAGAATATCATTTAATTAAAGAAATAATTTCATATTTCCATAGTAATAATAATAATACAATTAATAAAATAAATTATTAAAGGTATAGTTCACCCACCCAAAAATGACAATTGTGTCATCATTTACTCACCCTCATGGTCCAAAAGAGCATATGTAAAAACTTTTATCAAAATATTTCTTGCTGAAGCTACTTTTTGAAATGTCTGTTTGATGCTTTACACGACTTTAAATTATCTTTTGGGAGTAATTTCTCAGCCAAATTTGATGTGCGATTAATTAATCGCCACATCATGTAATTCATTAGATAAAAAATTTAAATCGCTTACCAGCCCTACTTAAAACTAATTAAAACTAAAAACTAATTAAAACTTTAATAATCAGAAATACATATAATTACAGTTATTTTATTATATTAAACACTAAATTATACTACTACTAATAAAACTGTAATTATAATATTATAAAAAAAATTATTAATGAAGGAAAAACATTTTTTTTGTTAAATTCTTCACAAACTCCCAAGCACCCCCTTGAGGCCCCCTGAAAACCCCCTTGAAAACTCTTGCTCTAGTTGGGTTTTGTAATAATGGTGGAAACTATTGATTATACCATCTCTGTTACCAAATCAGAAAGCCCCTTATAAGAACATCAAGAATGAATGGAAACAAACAAATACGAGCAGCTTCAGATGCCTTTACCCCATTATGGGCGTCTTCGTAATCCATGCTTTCGTAGGTCGCACCAACACCAGTTAACCGAGCTCCTGCAAAGACACGACATCATGAAAGGCTGGAATGGCGTCCTTTGTCAACAAGACGAGCAAATATAAACACAAAGCGGAGCACATACAAACACACTGCCATGAGCAAAGCCGATTGGGCCATCCAATACAAGTATACAGAGCGGAGAACAACAGCATCAAGATCAGCCAATAAATCAATAACAGATACCCAATGTGGAAGAACTAAACCCAGATACGGTCTATCAATGAGGACGCTTTTGAATGAATAACAGTGAATTCAGTTCTCAGCAGTCAAATGATCTATAGCTCAGTTTATCTGTTGTGTTCCTTTCCTTATTATTCTCCACCTTCAGAACAATATATATTAATTATTTACTGCAGGAGAGATTTGAAAAGGTTTGTTTGCTGCTCAGTATCCTGCTAATGCGTTTGTCTAATCATTCTCCAATATAAAACAAAGGCTTCTTATGATCTAATCTCAATGACGGCATTATCTGACTACACTGAGTTTCACAGTGAAAGTGCACTAACTTTTGGACAAAAAAGCAGATAGCTGGGGAAATTCTTTGCATACCAGTCTACTGTATGCAGCTGTTGAGAACTTGGCCTTGTCCTCTGCACTGGAGCAATGTGATAGCACAGGCCTAAAATAACCGCTAATGGAGCTGTGTTTGTGTTCGGGTTTTATCGGCTGCTTTAATCAGCCAAGTCTCTGAGATCTTCAAAGCTTTCCAAAGAGCAGTGTCTACAGTGCAGGCAAGCATAAAGAGACAAGAAAGAGAGAGAGAAAGGAAGTGGGTGTAATTTCCTCAGGAAACGATCACAGCCATTTTTTGTCAACCTGTCTGCAAAAGTCATGTTCAGAGCAACAGTGAGCATAAAACAAAGGAAAAAGACAAGGAGAGACAAACACATACACAAGTGTATGACACACAAAAGCATAAGATGAAAAGATTTATGCCACTTTCCACAAGTCAGGTACTCTCTGGCATCCCATGATTGTTTCAATGCATTACAGACACAGATATGATGTTTTAATTTGTAGAGAGAACTAATAAGTGCTCTTTATTATTAAGTAACTAATTAAGTACTCACCTTCATATTTCTTAATTAAATAACTTATAAAGTAATTTGAAAACCTTGTGTGAGACGTAATTTCACAAACAGCGTGAGTGAATCACCGAGCACGCTCTCCCTCTCAAAATACGCAAATGTCTTCAAATCACCACATCGCGTCTATCTATAAGCGAGCTGCACGCACGCTGCACAGTTGACACAGGAATTGTCCCTTGCACAATCGAGGCAGTGTCACATCATCACGAAATCATCATCGTAAAGTTTATAAATTGCATTTCTTTTTAATTCTTGCCAGTGTTTAACCATTCAGCGCTCGCGTGCTCTCCTGGAGACCGTGCGCTCATGGACACTCGCAGCGCACACACATAATGCCAGGTTCACACATTACTCCGTTTGCAGTGTGTATGCGGCGTGTATTTTTTCCGTGCTCATGTTAATGGATTAAAGCATTCACTGCACACGGTTGCGGTCCTGCAGTGCAGAGATCGTTTCCGCACCGAGTCTACT